TCACCCAGCCTCCCAGGAATGTCGCTGGGACCAGAGAGCTGCAGTTGTGCAAGCAGACAAGCTTACAGCTGGCTCAGGTTATGTCTGCAAGCAGTTACTACAGCCCAGTTAACACTGTAAATTGCTGGGAAGAAACCAAGGACCAAGCACTAAGCGCACAAAGAGATTTTGAGAAGTATTCTTTATGTTATTTTCTGGATCACTTGCTTCCCTACAGCTGCTGGAGCTATAAGCGAGTAGCTCTGAAATCTGAACTAGTTCGGTCATGAATCTCAAATGAGATGATACTCATTTCTGTGAACACAACAGTAACACTTTGCATTGTTGCATTTGTCTCATAACATCATTTGGATTTCTTTCCAGTGTAGCTATATTTCAAGTATGAGTAAACTTACCTTTTTATCAGTTGTATTTCAGAAGTATATGTCCAGTGCTTCAAGTCTTTTTGAAATCAGTGAACTTCAACAAAGATATGTTAGCATATTAATTATTTTCAGACATGACATTTACTTTAACAAACAGAACCCTGTCATCTGACCTTAAATGAAAATCAAGTTCCCATCTCAGGGTCAAGGCCAAAAAGAGGAGTTGGGAGTTAACGCAGAAAGAAAAGTCAGACTTTTAATTACACAATAGTTACAATGAGACATTTAGTACTTTTAAAAGGTTTATCTACCTGTGTCAATTTATCCCAAGTGCTTACAATCCATGACGAATGCATAAAACCCTAAATCAACCAACCAGAAAAAAACCCACACTGCCATATATCTACTTTGTTCCAAACTATGTATCTATTGAACATACCAACCATAACAATATTAATTTTCTGTCCACCTAAAAAAAAAAAGTAATTTTTACTATTACATATTGGAAACAAAAAAAAGAAAAAAAAAAGTGGGACTGTGCTGCAAGCAGGACAGGCTGTGACAACTCATATGTGGAAAGCCACAAATCTTTAAAATACCAGTAGCCTTTAAAGACCATTTATCCATTACACTATTGCACTGACTGGCAAAGATGTCTCTGCTATTTTAAGTTTGAGCTTTTCAGAAGCAGTGTTTATTATAATTTTCAGACCTTACCTAAGCTAGTCCCACTACTTTTCAGTTTTGCAAAGCTTGCAGCAAGAGTTCTAATGATAATGAAGTGAACGAAAAGGCTTCCCCTGACTTTAAGAGGGTCAGATCAGAAATCTGAAAATACTTGAGAGAACCCTAGCTCCACATGTTGTTTCAGTGCACCAAGGAAACACAGTAGAGGCTTCTAAACTGCATCAAACTTTCCACACAATATTGTTAGACCAGCTCTTGTTGAAAAGCCAGGCCATATTCTCAAGCTTTCTCCAGCAAAGTTAAATTACATTGTTATGTGGGGGAGCAGAAGACGATGTTGAAGATGCGGAGCCAAATCAGAAGCAGCAGGTATCACTACCAGTCAAATTAATAGCCTCAGAGCTGTTTCTGGATAATTCTGGTCTTTTGAATCAGAGAGGGTAGACTAAAAGCACAGAAAGACAACTACTGTACAAAATCAGTAGCCCTCATATGACAGCAGCCCTCCTTTGCTTGCTCCAGGAGCAGAACCAATCTTCCTGCTCCATAAACCATTTAATAAAATCTTGATGTGAGCAAGAGCCCTAAGATTTAGATAGCTGACAAGATGTAGCTCTGTTCCCAGGCAGGAAATGACAGCAGCTATTCTGTCTCCTCCAGCAGCTCTATCAGCCACCATGGGACAAGGCTGGGATAGAGAGCAGCAATATCAACTACAGCAGCTCCTGCCGAGTCCCTTCCTCTCCCCATCACCACCCTGGTGCCAGCAATGCGGCACGATCCCTGCCCGAGAGACACGCTCGAGCTGTGCAGGAACTGCAGCTTGGCCACATCTGTGCTGGAATCACATGGTCATTCCGAAAAAAAAACCACGGAGAAAAATCTTGGCAGTATTGCAGTTGATGGCAAAATTCCCACTGATTAAAACAGAGCCAGAATACCACGTATAATACTTTCACTTGGTCAGAACGCCTCCTCTTCCTCCTGAGGCTTGTAAGAGCCATAAATAAAGTTAAAGCAATATAGTACTCAGCAGTTTTAATAGAAGGCCTCCTCTGTTAAACGACCACCAAAAATAGTTGTTTAAGACAGGTTATACTGAATCATAAACGAGAGAAGCTTGCTTAGGATTTTTTTTTTAAACCATCACTACTTTTATTAGTTGTCAATGTTTTCCTGTTAGTCAATAAATGTATTTGATATAGGTGAGTTTCCAAAGTAAGCATGATGGGAGGGCTAGTTTAACATTCAAACTAATTTAAAAATAAGTTACCTCAAGCTTCCCTTTGGGACATTTACAAAATATGCAGTTAATTTGTTGCACCTAATTTGTGTGTATATACTGGGAGGTCATTAGTGCAGAAATTCAACCAATTTTACAATCTTTCTGTTCAGCTCAACAAATCACTGTTTTCAACACCTGTTTCTGGTGGTGACAATAGTTTTAGTGCTTGCTTAATTTCCACAGACAGGAAGCTTGCCCTAGGCAGAGCAAAAAGATACATTATATAGATATGTATATGCAGAACAGATGAAGCTACTATTAATACCACCACTAGGATATGTGCCCAGTTACACAATACTTCCTTCAGAATTAGGAAAAAATGTGTTTTCTAATATGAATTGCATTATTGGCTTCAGGTATCGTAGGTTATTAAACATTTCAAGACACCTTCTATAATAAGACTTTTAAAAGAGTTGTTTCTAACTTTGCCAAACTGTTTGGTCTAAAATTCTACATGCTGGCTGGCTGCCCTCAAGCTCCCTTTTTTTTTCTTTTTCTTTTTGTTTCTCGTTTTCAATTTAAGCCAAAATCCTCCTCCAATAAGGAGACCAGAGAACATTTTGTTGGTTTGCCAAAATTACATCTGGCAGCCTTTACTGCAGCTTGAAAACCCCTGCGCTTTGGAGCAGATACTTAAAATTTGATCAGAAGTAATGGCGGAGAAGAAACGAGCCTTATGTTTCCCCAGGAAAGTTTGTTCAAATGTGCCTAAACTACAAATCTTCGGGAGAAAAATAAAGATAACAACAAACTTTCCACACGTTTAACTGGAACTTTATGATTTCAGAAGCTAAAATCTTCAAAGAGGCTGCCTCACTGAGCATGTTCCCTTCCCTCATGGCCCATAGCATTTCTGTGTGCACACGGATCACCTTCCAAAAGCAAACAAGGGGGTTACAGGCCAGCACTGTCATAGTGACTGCTCTTAGCTGCTCTCAGGTGGAGTTGGACACTAGAAGGAAGCACCTCTCAGCAGTCCTACTAATGTCAGCCACCTCCCCAAGCCAAATACACAGCAGGCGACATAAACAGGCCTCTTCTACAATCCCTCACCTCATTCACTATACAATGTCCTAAGCAGCAAGGGTCCTATAGGCAAAAACATCCTTTGTTACATGGTCCCAAGTTCATCATGAGACTTTTAGTCACCTTTTTTTTTTTTTTTTTTGAGTTTGGGGTTCCACAGAAAAAAAAAAAAAAAAACTATGTGATCATGTATTTCAAGGTTGAGCTCACAGTTTGCCATGAGTTAATGGTTGTATATTTCTGTGTTTTCCAGCACTTGAGTGGTTGACTTTACAAGTTTAATAGTATTTATTGAAGCTTTTAATCTAATTTCAAAGAAGGAATTCAACTCTGTAGAAACAGTAGTTTCATTAAAGATGAACATTTTTTTAAAGTTTGCTCCCTATAGTGCTATACTCACATATAAAGAACCTCAAATCTCTGATTGACCTAGAAAAGTATATATTTTTTAGAACAAACTGAAAAGAGAACTGATCTATCAGTACTGTTTAATGATTTTTGTATAATGTTACTAATGTGTTAAAAGTTAATGTCCAAGTTCTCGGATTATTCACACACTTTTTGAGCTAATTCAAGCACACAATGTTGCTATTTGTATATGCATATATAAAAGGTACTGTCATACAACCTGAATTCGAAAAATAGGTATGTAAAATGCTTAATTGATCACTAAGCCCCAAGTTAAGCATGAATGACTAGCTCCACTGAAATCATTCGGACTACTTATCTTCATAAAACTAAGCACGCACCTGTACACTTGTGAGTTGAAGGAGTTGGTGACCATTTGGTTAATGAAATGTATATGCAAATTTATTACCTTATTCATTTCACAATAAGAGTTCTTCAAGATCTTGCTTTTGCAAGACAATCTGTAGAAAACCAAGCAATTTAAAAATAAAAAATAAGTACAAACTTGTATTTGTGTTTACAAGACTGCACTAAAATAAAAAGCAAATAACAATATAGCAAGTATTTACCAGTATAGTTTTTTATTTCTTTTCAAAATAATAGGGTTTCCTTAGGTTTATAATACTGAATAATGCAAATGTACCCTTTGTTAGAATTTCCAGTAGGTGCTATTCTTGAATTCTGAAAATGTGTGACAGAATACAGGAAGAAAATATAAAATTGGGTTAGCAAAATACAATAACGGAACTTTACAAGAGGGACACACATATTATGTTATTTTAACTAAGTCTATCAGTTAAACATGCTGTAACAGCATTCCAAGTAGTTATATATGCCTATAACCTTAAACTGCAACCTGAATCCCAGGAAAAAATCACAGTCATCAACCCAAAGCTAGTAGTTCCATGGGGGAAAAAAATCCATCTCAAGCTGCATTTCTTCAATCTTCAAGATTGAACAGATCTTCCCTTTTTACGTAAAGAATTATTTTTTAATTTTAATAAATCACTATATGTATCCTTAAATCACTCTATATCTTTCGCTTACTGTTCAAGATTCTCTTAAGTTTGTTGCCATAATGTCTTTTATTTTATATGCAAACAATCTAGCATTTTAATAAAAAAATATTTATTTATTGCCTTTAGTGAAAAAAAAAACCTTTAATGGTTCTTAAAAAAAAAAAAAAAACCTGTCTGGCTAATTGCCAAAAAAGGGCTTCCTTTGATTTCCTTTTTCAAGAACTGATGAAAAAATACTGGAGTTTGTTGTGATCTAGACAACCAAAGATAGTCATCTTGTATGGGATCACAATGCACAGTATTTGATTAAACGCACATATTTCTCAAATGAGCTATAAGGAATAAAACAACAACAAAAATGTGTTCTGCTATCATGTCCATTGCTGAAGGGAGCTCACAAAGTTTCCTCCTCACGTAAAAACTGGAACACAGACGAGAAGTCTTTCAGGGCATAGCCCTTTGCACACATCATCCTGTAGATCTGATGTGCCTGGGACCCCAAAGGGACTGGTGTCTTGGTGTTGGTGGCGGAAATCTGGGCCAGGCCAAGATCCTGGTGGAGGGGGAAGAGGGAGAAAGAGGGCAGAGGAAGAAGGGAGGGAAAAGACGTTGGTGAAGAAACAACAAGGATATAAATAGCTATGTACATACTATAGGCTATTTGGCTTCCATTGTAAAGAAAAGTGTACTGCCAACAAATGCAATACTCCAGCCTTAAATTCCATTTGAGGAAGAAGGGAGTCTTGTTTAATTTTTTGTTTTTTAAAAAATCAGCTCAAGACACACACCCTCTTTCAGGATCAGAGGAATTTTGAGATTCCAGATCACTACACAATCTGTAAGCAAGACTTTCCCCCCTCTGTTATGTCACCTCCATAAGATTCCCCGAGCTATTCACTTAAGCATCTCGCATGTGTTTTAATAGCACCACTTCTCTATTTGGGTGAGAGGACACCTTGTGTTCTAAAACAGGATAAAAATGAAGCTGGAAAACATCAACAAAATTGAAGTCACTTAGCATATGCACATTTACTTTAATGTAACCATGTGATTAATGAAAAAATGATAGGCTCAGGCCACTTTGTGAATATGAATGGTTCACAGTCTAAGTAGAAGAACATATTAAAGGATTCCCTAGGGGACTCTCATGAGTCTGCTGCAATTCCAAATTTGCTTTAATGACTGAAGATAAAAGAATACAGAGAGTGCTTCCACTGTGTCTTCAGACACTTAGTTTGGGGCATAAAAAGAAGTGAGCTTGCCAAGAAGAAGAAGAATTGGAAACCTGTCCTCTATGAGCCCTTGTCGACTAGAGTTAGAATCTGAAATATACAGGACACAACTAACAAAGGCAAGTACCATGTACTATAGCTAGTTCTAGCTGGCTAAAAGTAGCTGACTGCACAAAGAATTGTGAGCTAGGCTGGAGGATGCCTCGAATCCCAAGTTGAACCAGAGACGGGCAATCAGAGACAGAAAATCAAACACGAGTCTGAAGATGTAAAGGCCTTGCTAGAGAAGAACACTCAGTTTTGAGTATCATATTTCAAGAAGGTTGCAGAAGAACCTCTCAAGTGTCACTAAGAAGTGTCTAGATTTGCTGTCCACCCAGGACTGTATATAGAATGGCAGTATATATATATATACTCCTGCAACGAATCTTTGATACAGAAGATCTGAGAGCAGTAATACTGGTGAGAGAACCTTCAGCTCCTCAGGGCTGACTTACAAGACAGGTCTTTACTTCCTGTGCATCTGGATTTGAATTAGCACAAGAAAATTCACGATCTTACTCCGCACTCTAAATGTCACTTCGATCTGTAAATCGGCTCTATAAAGGTCATTCTGATACAAATCAGAATCACAGTTACTCTTCTTATTACCCTTGAATGACTCCAAGATTTAGGAAAGTGGGAAAATATACATATCAGATGCCACAGAATCAAAAATATTCTTCATCTGCTTCGTGTGTAGCAGTTATACTGAAAGACTCACCGTCTGAGAAATCCAGGAATAGTTATGCTAACCTGACTTACAGGAAGGTATTCCATGACATATTCCTAGCCTCATATAAGCCTTCTTTGTGAAATCTGTTGCCATGTTGTCCATTTCTTTCACCAAAATTTAATTCACATCATGGAATAGCCAAATGGCAAAATCATCCTACTCCAAACTTGCATGGTTGATTTTCACAGTGCTGCCCTACTTTTCTTTCTGAGGGGGAAATCACAGAAGCAATCCTTCAGGATTCTGAAGACTGCTCCCACAGTGGAATTTCATAAAGCAAGTCTTCAAAGCAACCACTTCAAGACCCCAGCTCCAAGACGGCTGAAATTTTAGACAACATTGTAATAATAAATGGACCCTAACTCCAAAATGCAGGAGTCCTTTTCCTTCCTTTTCTCACATCCTATAAACTGGAGCTTTGAAGAGAAAATAAAGAAAATAAATAAAATAAAGCTTAGTGTCAGCTTCAAGTTGTGAAGTGTTTTGCACCTTTTCTTTTGAAGCTGGAGATTTCCTGAGTGAAGCAATACAAAACAGTTCTGACTTAAATTTGCCTTTTGCTGATCTTCTTGGAAAGGTAAAAATCAGACCATATCTTACTGGTTCTCTCTTCCTCTTTGGAATTGACGTTTTCCAGACGTTTCACTATACTGACTACTGTAACTGCTTTTTCTCAGCCTAGAATGGTGGAGAAAGACTCTCTTTTGGGAGACAGTTGTCAAATATTTTTTAAAGAAAAAAAAGGCTCACTATGAAAATGCAGTTACTTAAGTCTATTTTGCAGTTGATCTAAATGAAATTCTGCCATTCAGAATAAAACTCAAATGCTTACTGCCAAGAGTCAAAAACAGTATGATCTCAATCTAGCTCTTCTAAGGATCCAAAGAAGATTGTGTTGTAAATGTAAGATGGAACTTCTGGCCTGCAAGGGGTAATACTATGCTTTATTTTTTAGTGTAAAACCTTTGTAGTAGTTTTTATATTAAGTTGTCTAAACTCTAGGTTTCAAGACTGAGGAGCTTCTGACAAAGCTTTCCTTCCCAAGCAGCTAAAATTGGGATTCTCTGGGTTTGTTTGAGAGATTAGTTTCAACTTCTACCACATCTGACACCTGAGTAGTAATCTAAAGCTAAGTTACTGCTGAATGACTGCCTTCCTGAGCCACTCCTAGATGTGATTCATTGTAGCTCTCTTCCACCTCAGGATTGTACCTGGATTTCTTTGCAATACATTTTTTCTTTTTTTCTTCTTGAATTACAAAAGCGCATTTTGTATTGCTCAGAAAAGAAGTCCCCAAATCAAACAATTCACAAACTACGTGATACATCATCTACCAAGAGGAAAGTAATAATAGAAAAAGCCTTTCCACAAAATAAGGTACCATGTCTTAAAAAAAAGTCACCACTGCACCAAATAATATCCTGAACATGAACAGCTCTCTTTTGGCTAATTATTCCAAAAATTTTCCATCTGTATTGAATAACAGAGGAATCTACTGTCTCTCCTCCCTGTTGAGGATTCAAGCTTGAAGAAGGCAGCCTACTACCTGACGAACAGAGGAAGGAGAGGCATACTTAGAAGAGGTGAACCACAAGGTGCACTGCAATATCCAGGTTTGATCCCTGCTCTAATAATTTTCTTTTATTATTAAGTGCTTGATTTATTTTCTATTCACACTGTACATGGGAAGAGTTAAGTAACTAGACTTAAATGAAAGTGAAACTTACTGAAAAAGGCCAAAATGGCAAGCCAATAGGGAAGACTCACAAACTAGCAGGTCTAAAATCCTGTATGAACTTAAATACCTCCTTCAGGACAGCATCTCTACTTAAGTGATATTCAAAGTGTGAAATGGTTTCCAGCACTTACATGGTCAGATGGTAGATCTCTTCCAGGACCACTTTTGTAATTTATCTTAGGCAATCACTGTGCTAAAAGCAGTAGTTCAAGAGTCAGAGTCCTGTGACTCCTTCCTCCAGAGCTGTGTATCGTCTTCATGAGGATGCAGAGCCCTGACCTCCTTGCCTACTCTCCTCTGGCCTCTAAGAGTTTTGCTTTCCTGACCACAGATGACTCAGGCCAGTACTTTTCCTAGAATAGCCAAGGGCATGGCAGTAAGAGCACTCTCCTGGGATAAGACAGCTGTAGGTTACAACTTCCTCAGGCTGAAAAGAACCTAAACCCCAGATCTCTCACTTAGTAGACAAGAGATTCAGATTTCTACATTTTTACTCATAAGAAGCAGTGCTGCCACGAACAAAAACAATGCAAGAGCAGCCACAGCATGGTGCAAGGACCCCAGAAAATTGGAGTCTACAGAAGGAATTATCTCAAGGGATGTCCATTTTCTGCCTTCAGAATGACACTAGGCAGAAAGACAAACACCTAAGCTGTTGGCTGAGCAGAGTGGGATGCTACAGGGCATGTCCACTACCACAGCTTACAGTATCTGAAAGAGATTGGGCAGAAAATGTTAAGTGTCTATTCCATCTTTTGCACCTAATTAGATCAGCAGGACTTTCCTAAAGTACTGTCTTGAGGTTAGGCTCCTATATTATAGATAAGTCATGTGAAAAACACAAAATGGCTTGCAGAATATTTGCTGTAAAGACAAACCTCACAGGAACAGGTGCTCCTGGATTAAGTCAGTACTCAAAAAAAGTGCATGAAACATCACTGAGTGGTTTTGCAGAAAGAGTAGTGAGGAAGAGAGCTGAGGTTGATGTGAAGCCCTCCAGCCTACTCAGTAATTCAGAGCTACAATAAAAGGCTGGGGCCCCTTCTGCTCATGCACATTCATTTCCCTGTAATAATTAATTTTCACTGAGAAGGCTGTTTGCTAGAAATCCAGCAAGAATCAACCGTAACGTTACATGCAAGTGCCATGTACCTTAGCCATGAGTGTTGCTCCAAAGCCACCTTGGTAATTATTAGCAGATGGTACTCCTTCCATCACTCCTGGAACAGGATTGTATGTGTCGCTTGACCAACAACGACCTGAGCTCATATTTAGGATTTTGGCCAGCAGCTTTGGGTCAAGCCCTAATCTGTCAAAGGTCAAGGAAGAGAAGTGTTAACATCAAAATGCACAAGACATGGGTGACTTGTTTTATATCTTAGGACCCAACCACCATTTCTCTCCCTTTATTATAAGTCATGAAAAATGACATAGTATTGATATTGGGGGTGGGGATGCTGTATTTTAAATTAAAGAACATCAATCTACCATTTAAGCAGCAGGATTTCAAAGCTTGTTCCTTTTACACTACGCAAAGCCCCTTCACCTAGCAATTTTGAAAGTGAAAGCAAAATAAGGGTCCTCTGAGAACAGCAGTTCTCTTGTATGCCAATTACTGAAAGGCATTCTCTGTTCTGCTACCTACTAGAGCACATACTTGTTCTTCATATCAAAACTATATTCTCTGAAGCTGAACAAAGAAAAGAATTCAAAAGCAAGAGAGGGAGTGTGAAAATACCTGTGATGCATTTATACGTGTGCATTTATGTATTTTTTGATGTAACAAGACAATGCAAAGTGATCCTGCACTAACAATAGCAGTGATCAAAGCTGCTACTATTTTTAAAAAATAATGCCACTGTACACATCTGCATGTTCCTTGCTTCGTTTTTATTAAATCTTTATTAGGAACTCTTGCTTATGAAGCAGGCCTGCCTTGCACTATGACATATGCTATCCTTTCACAAACATACATTATAGTTCTGGGTCAACTGCTGATAAGGTTACCGATCCTGATAAAACAAAGGTTGGCCGAGTAGAAACATCATTTGTTCTATCAGAGCTGATGGCATAAACTGCTGCTCAACAGGGACCCTAAAGATACTTCAACATTACAGAAAATGAACCCTCTTATGGATTCATATCTATGGATTCATATCATACTAAGTTGCAATTTTATACCAACTGCATTTATACCAACAATAAGCAGCAGCAGTTTACATGAGCTCTTCAAAAAAATGTTGAGTTGCACTCACCACCAAAAAAAGTGTGCTCTAACTGTGCTTTACTTTTTTTTTTTGACTTTTTTCTTTTAAGAGTGCTATAAATCAACACTAGCTCTTACCTAGGATTTTCTGCAACAGTCATGCACAGTCATAATGACCCTAACACCACTTCCAGACTCCATAGTACTCAAGGTTTTAATCTGTACGTGGGTAAAGCTCATTACCAATGAAATAATTGCTAAATTTTCTATGTGTTTATTCTAGCAGACATTGAAAGATTTTTAAAATTATTTTAGAGCAGTGGGCCCGATAGTATGGTTCTTTCTCCCACAATGACACATATCTGCCATTCTTCCCGGCAAATACAAAACAAAATAATTTTTTTGTATTGAAAAGGTAGATTTTTAGCATTACTGTTGTGCAGTCTTACTTATGGCAAAAGTCTTCTTCTCCTCCCCATTTTGCAACACTGTCTCAACTGAAGGTTTTTCAATTGCCATTAAATGCACACATACATACATATATATATGTACATACACACACACATATATTTCCCATTTCTAATACATTTCTACAATATTTTAATCACACTTTTTATCATACCCAGTGCAAAGTCCTCACCAAGAGGCACTCTGAATAAATGTGCTTTAATTGCTGTCACACAGAAAGCATATTGAAAGCAGACAACTGAATTTTTAACATAAAGTTGTGTGTTTTGGCCAAAATAAGTCTCTTGATTTGTTTGTTGCCTTATTGTTATTACATCCAGAACAGTATTTTTAGCAGTGCAGCACTTGCTTGTGCCATATCTAGCTGCATGCAGAGGCCCCTAATTACAGCTGTGAGTAGCATTTATACCAGAAGACATTGAGGTTATTATTTCAAAATGCAAATAACCCTCCCCAAAACCCCTCTTCTCACAATATTACAGCTACCTCTCTGTTAAAATATATTTTAAATGATATCTTTATGTTCTACAGATATGTAAAATATTGTCTGCAGTAGATCTATCATATTTTTGCTCTAGGGAAGGAAATAGGAAGATGGTGTCAGTTTAAATCCCTGCTTTTTTCAAACTTGGGTGCTCTTAAACACCATGCAGATTCTCTTTAGGAGACCTGAAACTACTTTTTTTTCTCTTTTGCAGCAAGTGTATCATTAATAAGAGCAAGTTAGAAGTGCTTTGCATTTCATCTTTCTGAGGATTCATCCACTGGTGCATATATAACTGACAGTTAAAATTAGACATATATTAAAATCAGTTACTGAAGAAGTCCTCTGTCTTCCACTGCGCCCAAAGCTTGTAATGGTCTGAAACCGGCTAGAATATACAGTAATTGTCATTCAGTGAGAGTCTATCCTGGAAAGTCATGCTTCAGTGGAGAAGACTGAGTTTCCATTTGAAATCAACAAATTAATCCAAGACAGGTATCTGAAAGGGCAAGTTTAATAGGAAGCAGCTACTGGGCTCTCAACCATGATAAAATGTTATTGCTGTTTCCCTGTAAATTGGCTGGGAACATATGATACCTTCTGCATAAGAGCTCCATTGCTGCTCGAGAGATATACGGCTCAAGCTATCAAAACGATGACAGTCTGCCAGTCCCCGGAACAACTTGCCATTGGATGTGGCAGAAGCATGTGCATGTGCATGTGGATTTACTACCCCCGAAAATAACACACGAAAAAGCAGCCCATGTATTAACTGCAGTTATAATAGAGCACAAGAACAATCTGCTGCCTCAAATTAGTGCTTCTTCAATAATATCCCTAATGTACTGAAGCAGAAAATAAGCAAGACACACAAAAAAAATGCTTAAAATAGGAACACTTCAAGCCACTGCTCAAAACTCCAGTTTTGCTGAGTTTTGATAAAGTAACATAGTGAAATGTTCACACACTCCTCCCAGAGTTTTGTTTGCAATGGAGAGTAAAGCTGAAATGGCATCTCACAAAAACGTTTCTCGCTCATCTTATTTTGAGTAGACAGACTGCAGTGGCTAAACTGCGGAGAGATTTTCAGCTCAGGGTGTTATGGATAAATACCATTTGAAGCTGCAAATAGGTATTGAAGCAGAATCTTGGGACCTTTCCACCACAGCTGAAAGTGGCTTTACCATCAGTGTTTGAAACACAAGTCTGGGAGCTACTGCAGCCCCTCCCGGCAGACAAGAGACCTTCTCTGCTGACAGAAGTACAAAAATGATTTTACACCAAGGTCACTGGCATTAATCTTTCTATCCTGGTTCTTTCCCAGCCATATTAAACAGTCTTGTCCTGTCTCATGGCACCACATAATCCACTCGCTCGGTCTTGCAGGCGGCCTCGGAAGGGACTGCCAAGTGCCTGACAGGCAGCGACTTCCACCTGACCGAAACACAAATGAGGTATCAGCAATGTTTAATTTCCATCTTTGCCCTGCTAGCACGAGGCATTGCTGCCATGGAACTGGGAGCTCAGTACGAAGGCTTACTGCCACTGAGACGATCAGCAAAAAGAAAAATCATCTGTGATTGTGGACAGTATCAATACATGTTTTTATTTCTCATTAGTGAAATTCAGATGCACTCGGTGTTATTCTTTTGGCATACTAATTCCCTACAGTATTTTGCAATATACACGTTGTCAATAAAAACAAAACCAGAATCTACTCAGGAGATTTTTTTCCTCTTGCACTACCAAGCTGGAAAAAAAATGCAAAAGAAAATGTAAATTCATTTTGAGAATGTCTGCCACACCTCCAATACCTTTTGGTAGCAACATTCATAAAGCACCATTAAATTAATTAAAAAACAAAACAAAACATAAAAAACATTTCAACTGGAACTCAGGCTGGCATTTTTTCTAAATTACAGTATGGAAACTAAACCCAAGCCCTTCCAGTGAACATGGACATCATTAGTAACTGATGATGATATAGTCAAGATGAAAAACAAAGGGAATGAAACACAACATTCGCACAGGATTGCTGGCTTTTCTGGGGGTTTAATGTGGAATTTTTGCTCACTGATGCCAGGTGTCCTGCCTGTTCATCATTGGCTAGTTAGACTGGAATTTGGAAAAAATCTATTATATCAAATATAAAAGAAAGAAAACAATAGCAGAGATCATTTAAAAATCTAAAGTGAATGAATTATCTCTCTGCTTCAAAAAATGAAAGTTTAGGCTGCGTGGTGTGTTAAAACAATAGAGGCAGTACTTCATAATTAGCATCTAACATCACATTGCTTCAAATGTGTAGGCAGAGTATATGCTGGTTTCTGCAAGGCACTGTCATTTGACTTTTACTCACGTCTAGTTCACAGACAAGAACAGTTTCTGAATTATTCAAAGTCCATAAAACCTCCAGACTTAAATAATGAACAGATGTATGCTGTGCATGACATGAGGACACTTTATAGCCTATCTAAAAGTTAAGAATATGTCCAAGTTCCACCATTTTTATCATTAACTTTTTAGATTTTCAGCATCCTTTACTGATTATTAGTCAGTGATAGGCTTTCTTTGCCTGAGACACTTCCATCTAATGAATGAGGTTGTATCCTGCTCTCTCTGATCTTGGCAGTCAAAGCATCCTGAGATTGTGCACCAAAAGAACCACTGGTCAAACACTACTTTGAGTATGCTAGGTAATAATGCATTATGTTAACTTTTGGACCATTTACACATGAAAAAATAACCAAATTATTAGTGAGTCTTTTAATGATTATCTTTCAATAGTTAATAACTATACCTTGTATATTAGAAATTGGTACATGCAAAAATTATAAAGTTCTTATTCTAGCTATAAGCAGAAGTCATTTTCTCCAGGATTTAAATCAAAGCACATTAAAATCAATGCAGAGGTTCTAAATTACTTCATAAGGCTTTGAATTACTGTTTATATCAAACTCCATGCAGTTTTGTGCTAGATGAGATTCTGCTCTTCATAACATCCAGGTTACAACTAGCAGGTTTCTTCTACAATAAATATAGTTCCTTCTTGATTACCAGCACTGAGGGGTAGACAGCTTTGTATATTGTCACTTTCGGTTTTGCTCAGACATCTCTGAGCAAACATTTCAGACATTTCAAAACACAGAGTCAGTCAAAATCTCATCTGGAAAGGGATAAAATGAACTATGAAAAGTCTAAATCCTTTCAAGCTACAGTGACTGCAGACACAAATTTATTTTGCACAAGCTTCACATGCCCAAAGTATGTGTTCCAAACCTTTTGAATTTACTCTATTTTTAATTTTAACCGTAATCACCCTTACATATGTGGACAAAAACATAATGAGAACATCAGTTGCATATGCTCTACTAAGTGAGCCATGACCTAACACAGACCCTGGTGCCAGCTTTACACCACACTGGATTACAACAGTTGCATACGATGCTATTGCTTTTATTACGGCTTGATACAGATATGCTTCACTATCTTACAGACGCTCAATTTTAAAATGTAAATGGTACAGGATATTGATAAACCAATTAGCACTGATGCAAAGCAAATTCCTCTTTTATCTCAATTACAACATGACAACTTAATAGGTCAAGATAGTCTAACATCTGAGACAAGGGCAATTCAATAAAACAACTGCATCTTGATATGGTAATTAAGGGGAAATGTGAATCCATTACACTGCTTGTGTATGTGCGCACATGTGGGTGCTCTATTATTTATTTATTTATTTGAAGTATTTGATGCTGTTTTTGTATTATATCAAATCTGCAGGAGCACACAGTCTAGAGTTCAGTTGATAAATACCTAGAATATGTGCAGTTTTAGCAGCCCAATCATAAGGGTGTGACTTGGACAGATGTATAACGCATAGAGCCCTCAGAAGATATGTAATTGCAAGATAATTTATTCAGACACAGAATATATATTTTTTTGTGTATAATCTTGAAAATGCTTTAGATCTGGTTAAGAGAATTCAGGAAGGTTCAAATACTGTGAAGCTGAACTGGTGTTTGCACACACTCAATGGGAACACGAAACAAAATCTCAAAAACCAGAACAAAAAAAATAGGCTTCAACTGGAGAAGAAAAATCGCTTCATTTGAATATACTGCCACTTACATGTCATATATATCACCTTCTATAAAAGAAAGGGAAGGAGTGCAGTGGAACATATTCTGATTTTTTTGAAAAAGAAAGAGTTCTGTCAATTGGGACAAACCATGATGAACAGGTTCGACAGAAAGGTCTATGCCTTTTTTATCCTTTAATTCTGACTTGAGATGCACACCATGTTAGAAGTTCTACTTTACAACATTTGGGAACAATTTAACAAAGCCATCCAGAGCCATAAGGGAGTATAATACTCAAAATACAATGTACATTAACTTCGAATACAAACAAAAAGGTATCTCTATATTATCTCTGCATGTTTAGATTTAAAAATAAACATTATTGTACAATGCACTGTAACAGAGCAAATAAACTCTTATTTGAGTTGCAGAATGTAATGATCTATATACAGCCATTACAAGAAAATATTCCTGTTCTCAAGAGTCTTGCCTTAGTTAAATAATCTCTTTAGAGTGTTAAAGGCTTTTACAAGAGAATTTCTAGCCAAATTTTATCTACACCATCTAATCATTGCTGTCTCAGGAAAAAACAACGGCAAAATACAAGAACTGTTAACACGGAAAATAAAAAACAGACCAACCTGATGCCCAGATTCATAGCCTCAGCAGTTCCAATCATACTGATTGCCAAGAGCATGTTATTGCAGATCTTTGCCGCCTGAAAATAAGTCAAATAGTCAATCAGCTTCTGAGTTTTGACAGAGCTAACACATAGGTATCTTTTTTAACTAGGCCCACTATAGCTATGATCAAATACCTTCAGATAGCTGTTTTCTAAAAGTAGCACCAGTACAGCTGACCTATGGTTCTTTCAGAGATCAGGAAACTTTTCTTTTTTTCCCCTTGGTGCAGTAGTTCAGTTAGTATGCATTACATTTAGGGGCTTTTTGCCCTTTACATCATAGAGACTAAACTTAGAAGAAACAAAATAAAAATCCGAATCCTCCAAGACAATCTGGGGAAGGACCAGGCACTACAGTCCTAGGACAGTATTTTACATACACATGGTTGAACAATGAGCAAACAAAGAGAAGATAATATAGGACATTTGGTTCTGGAATAAAAAAATGGGTTTCATGAAAGACAAATAAAGGAACAGAAAAGAAAGACTGAAATAACTGGTAAGTCCTCAGCAATCATTACCTGCCCGGTTCCGACCTCTCCACAGTAGACCACATTAGAGCCCATACACGTCAGTAACTCTTTGGCAGCATCAAACTCTTGCTCCACTCCACCAACCATGAAAGTAAGGTTTCCAGCTCGAGCAGCACCAACGCCTGCATCAAGATAACACTGGATTTAATACCAGCATTTTTTTAAGAAAAGAACCCCATCTTACCAATTATGTTCTAATCATGTAAAATTTATGTGCTCAGTACTTCACCCATGATGAATCTCCCCAAAGTTTATTATTACTATGGAAACATACAGCCCTAGCACTTACAGGATCAAAGACTCTGGAACATTCAATCAAGATAAGACCACCTACTGGTAGGGAAGAAGGCAACTTCAAGAATAGCAGGACACAGAAATTCAGAGAACTTTTGGCAATATCACTTTTATAGTTTCACATGGAGAAAGAATCAACCCTTCCTGCAAAAAGCTTGAGCACCTCACACTCCTCACTATTTCTCAGTTCAGCATGAAGCTACTAGAAATTCAGGTTCCTGCCCTGGGAGTGCCTGGCTGCAAACGCCGCTTTCTGTATCTGTTATGTATTTCTCCCCTCCGTCCTGCCACTCAGTCTGCACTGTGTCTTGAATTCACTGAAAAATTTCACAACAGTTTGACAGATTAAGGCCTAGAAAAACCCAGCAAGCTTCTACTAGTTTTGTCAAAATAGCCAAACGAGTAGGGGAAGGAGAGTCCCACTAAAAATAAATGAAGCAGATGCTTAACCTGTGTTAAACCCTGAAGCATCCAGAACTCCTCACCCCATAGCCAGAGCTAGGGGAAAAAAATAATAAAAAAGTCTATATATAACATTGCTGCTCCTACAACAACACATTCCTGAGACACTGAAGAAGTGTGGTAAAAAAATCTTCCTTCTCAGGTTAAGAGACACCCTATTTGCAGCCAATCCTTGATCTCAGTCGAATGACTCCTCCCTAGGAACTCGTCGGTAAATCCCAGGAACCGGGCTAAGAGCAAAGCCTCGATTTAGAGCTAATACAAACAGGACATTGTCATCTTGTTGGCTACCAATTTACTACGTACATGACCGCAAAGATTGCTACATTAATAAACACAATGATTTTCACTCCATTCCTCCAGCTATTTTTATTCAAACCACATAATGGCCTTTACCACTAATCCTGTGATCTGACCTGCAGCAAATTAAGTAGACAATTTAAGTCAAAGCTTACAAACAAAATCCAGTACTATCCATCATAGGTCAATAGCCTTGTATCTAGATTACAGACTGCTAAATAGCTTCAGAGAGTCATTTATTAGAGCAAAATTAATGCTGACAATAGTTTTCAGCTGGTTAATCTTCTGACAGCTGCACTCTCTCACTTGTTCAAGCACTTACATTTCAAGTAGAAAAAAATAAATTAGTTAAGTAGAAAAAAGGGGCAATTTGTTGTATAATGCAGGAGCCTTGGAAATTTCTATTTTTAAAAACAAAAACCTGTTTACTTCATGGTGCATTTTATTATCTAGAGTCCTTGCCAACTACCAGCTATTTTATCCGAATTAAACAAGCAGTGCAACAAATCCTTAACACTAGCAATTTCTGAAAGTTTTGGCGGGGAGTCTAGGAGCACAAGAACTTCAGCTGAAAATAGAAGTAAAAATTTATCAGACAAATACGCATAGCTTTACTTCACAATCACAGATTCCATGCTGACAACACAGATCAGTAAAACATTGACAGCTTAAACCACTAAAAAAAGACAACAAGGGAGAAGGCAGAGCAGCTTAAGATAACAAAAAGAGCAATGATTATATTTCAAATTTTCATTTTTTTAAAGGTATCTTCTTGCCTACCTAAAATAGTGCTTATTGTACCACTGCAGGTCAGAGTCGAGACTCCAGAAAACCTTCAGAAGCCATTTGCTCTTCCTCCAACATAAAACCTCCCCATGGTTAAAGAACGGTTTCAAAGAAACTGTATTTGTGATTAGCAACTAACTGTAGGATTTGCTCTTCCACAAAGCCAGACTGCTCGAGCCCACGGCTGCAGCCCTACACTGCATTTCCCCAGGACGATCCCCCGCGAACTGCTTAAGGGTGCCGTGTGAGCAGGTTTTACAAACAAGTCAAAAGTTAGTCAGTAGATTGTAACACTCTGTTTGACTTCTGCTTTTCTTTCCTTATTTTATTACGCAAGTAAAAGACAACAGGACTATGCAAATATTTGGAGCTTTTACTGTAAGGACAAAAAAAGAAAAAAAGAAGTGTCAATAACCCTCATCTAAAACATTAAGGTAGTTTCCTTACCACAGGCTGAGGCTACAGTGTGCTTACACTGTAGCCTAAAGGCGAGCTGAGGAGACTGGACAGAAAGTAATGAGCACCAAAGACTTACCCCTTGGGTATATGCCAAAAAATAGCAGCCAACGAGACATCCAGAAAAAGAGAAATACATGTTCTGGGGAGTTTAGGTGCTTTTAAATGTGGGAATTGTTCAGGAAATCCAAAGAGGAATCAAAAAGCACTTCTTGTTTCAAGGCATTTATCAGAAAATTTCCAGATTTCTACATTGTCAGGAACACGTTAGCAAAAACGCACGTCAGGATGCAGAAAATGAATCCTGAAAGAAGCACAGTGAAAAGTTCTAGAGTAGCAGGAAGAAGGAAGGACTGCAGAGCCTGGCGCAACACAGACTGGTTTCCTGCTCAGGTACTAACAGGTTTTTGACCAAGGTCTGGAGAGAGCATTCCTTCCCCCTGCAGCGAGAAGAGGTACCTATGAAATGGTTCCTCAAAATGTGTCCCATCATGTCTGGCTGAGTTACGCATGGGACAAGTAACTGCAGGACAAGACTGTTCAGTCCACATGATGCCTACGAATTACTGCCTGTAAAGAAATCAGTGAAACTGAGGTGCTAGGACTCCTTAGTCTGAATTTTAGGTGAAAACATGAATGGAGGCTCAGGAAAATTCATATGACAATAGCAACTAGTCAAAGCTGTGCAGGGGCAGATGACCTCAAGTTTTAGGTTCTCAGCCTGACAGCCTCGTTCAGTAGCCAGCCTTCCCTTCCAAATTCACTTTGCTTTGCTGATTTTGCAAGTCCTACAGCGTATAAAATCCTGGAAAAAGTACTGTAATCTGTTACTGATTCCAGTTCCAAAATCAAAGGTCTCACCTCTGTAGCTGTATCAGTAAAGGCAGCTGGGTTATGGTTTTCTTACTAGTAGGACTACAAATTGCTAGAAAATGATGTTAATCAGATGTACATGTAAAGTGTCTGCCACTAGTTAAGGTTTTATTACCTTTTTTATATTTAAACCACTGTTGTATTGCACCTACCAATACAAAAGAGTGCTGCTGACAAAGGTGAGAGGAAAAGTAAAAGTGAATGTCAATCTACAGCCATGTTTACCTGCTTCAGAGACTCCAAAAGACTAGCTGAAACTTAAGAGCTGGAACATCTTAAAGAAAACACAAAAATTCTCTCATTGTTTATTCAACATACAGGATATTGAGCAAGGCAGAATTTTAAAAACTAATCTATGATCTCAAATAGATGTAAAAACAAACAGAAAAAAAAAGGGTTAAAGTTCCAATTTTCCATTTTACAATGTTGTACCTTCTTGCAGTGCAAGAGTTGAAGCGCTCCCTGTTATGCTTTGGGAAGTGCAAGAAAACCCTAGTCCTTTACTCCAAGACTTTTGCAGAAATGCAGTTTCAGTGACTATAGTAGCCTCAGACAAGCAGTTTCTTGCCATGTTTGCTCCCTTTCAGGCAGGCTGAACTCGAGAACCTGTGTGCATGTGTGCACACACGCACAGGGGTGCGCGCGTGAGGCATGGTCTTTTACAGGACTAACCAATTCTAAATATCTGCCAGTTCCCAGGAAATACTTTGTCTTTTGCAACTCGCTAGAAGTTAAATCAAGATACACAAAGAAAGATTAACTGAAAAGGTTACTATTGTTTCGCTACACATATAAAGCTCAAACCAATTAAAAAGGCACGTATAGGCAACAGCAGCTACAAATCCCTACTGGAAACAAAAGCAGGTTATTTAAAATTACACTATAAATTTAAAGCAAGCAGGAGCAGACGTATGCATAGAGCATCATTTTCTTCTACTTGCTTCACAGACAGCCTGACATCCTCAAATCTATTTCCTGGGCCCAAGTAAACAGAACAGGCTCGGAAAAAAACCTGCTCAAAGGGACCTTGTTTCTCCCTGTTATAAAATCAGCATCAAAGGTAGCCGTATGAGGCTGCCCTAGTGCCGTAGATGGGAAAACCCAGTAAATCACTTAATTTGCTCAAAAGAACTTAAATGTTTTAAGCAGCCTGCCATCAGCAGAGATAAAGAAGAGGGCCGATGGGACCGGGCTGCAATGTGAGCCGTCTTTAAAATGCAATTGTTCTAATCATTTTCTACAGATGCCGCCTCACAAGGGGCTGCTGTCACAGGGACCATTTACGACTTGTTATGGTGTCTCTATTGTTTACCAGCGACATTCGCTAAAAAGGCGACAGCTGGGACAGAAAGCTGCTACTCACCGAACAATATAATCCCGTGAAAGTAATCAACAAATTTAAGGGTGTTAATTAACTTTACACTTTATCATGTTCAATTAGTTGTCCTTTCTGGAAAAGATTGCCGTGCACAATCGGTTTAGAGCGTGCCATGTTTGATTTGTAAGTGATCACTGTTTCTGTTTCGAAGTCCATGTCAGATGTTCTCTTGGGTTTTGGTGACACAGATGAATGGCTCTGCACATGTTAGGGGGTGATCTGGTTTAACATAAAGCAGCATAACATAACCCCTTGTTAACGTGCGGCCGGCCTTTGCCGAGCAAGGCCGGGAGAACGCAGGCCGGAGCGCGCGTACGTGCGCCAAGCGCTGCTGACGGCCACGATGCAAAGTTTTGGTTTTGCTGAAACACAAAGGCACAAATAAATGGGCAATTTTTCATCATTATATCTCAAAGCCAGGCTTGTCTTTTAGGGGCACGCTCGGGATCATTTCTTCCCAGCAAGATCCCTAGTTGTGCCGCATTACGCACTAGGCACAAGCACGTCCGAACGTTTTACATAATGCGCGCAGCCTGTTTTAATGGCAGCTGAGCAAATGCAGGGGAGACGCGG